CGGGTGTACATGGTGGCCGCCGCCGACCTCCAGTACTGGGACCTGGTGGACATGATCGGCACGTCTGTTTACTTCGGCCGGCGGCGCAGCTTCGTCCTTATCGACTACCAGGAATTAGCCGAGGTGGTGCTGGGTGGTCGGCCCGGGCTTGGCGGGAAAGTCGGGCATTCGAGCAAGCAGACCCATCTTTCGAAAGGAAAAAAACACGCACATAGCTTATCTTCTATTGACTGCAGGCACACCATCATTATAATGAATCTTAAACCTGGACGTTAAACCTGTGTACCCTTTAACACGCGCCCAGTTGACCGTTTGGACACCCTTCGCTCGGGTGGGGGTCAATTTGAACACCCCCTAAGATCTCAGGAACCAAAAGAGCTAGAGGCCACCTTACAGGGCGTGTTGACTTGTACGTGAACTCACTTAGGTCAGAGTTGGTCGGACCGGCTCGCTTTGAATTTTGCATTTGGATAAGTGACAAAGATTACGCCAGGCAGTATGTTTCTAAAAAAAATGTTGACGTGGGTCATTCCACGTCAGTGATCTATTTTGGCGTTTATAAAGGCCATGGAAGGTGCATAATGCAACTGGTTGCGTCAGTAGATTCGAAATGAGCAACAGGGACTACCCAATACATCGCGGGCAGGAGTAATAAAACAGGTTGGCTTTGACCATGGTCTGACTCTCATACCTGACCTTAAATCAGTGTAATTTGTTCATTAAATTTTGTGTGTTGCCCAAGAAAGTATCTCAGAGATCTATGGCTTCGTCTAACACTCCGTTGTTGGATCAAATTGAGCGAGTCCCTGGAAATTGCCTTTTCTGAAACCATGGCCTGCCTTTGACCTGTCATAGGTCAGTGCCCCTACAAGGGAGATCTGAATTTTTAACGCCAGATGATTCGCTATTCAGCTCTCTGCAGCTATGCAAAATTGGACGGGGCTAGGCCGCGCCGTTCGGAAACCATTAAGGACCAACATTCGGAGGGGTTTATTTCACCCCACCCGAGCGCGTTTTGAAAGAATCGCCCAAAAATATGTCGACCGAATCCCGTATCCATACTCTCTTCATGATCATCTTTTAACAGTGAAGCCGTGTTCTATTGAGCGTCGTTATTTAAGAAGCATGGGCTGTTTGAGAATGTGGTTTCTCAATCCTTAACCCAGTGTATTTTGCCAACCCATACGAAGCGTTTAGCGGATAGAATCTTGAGAATGCCCGGCGTCCAACACAACTGTCTTCGCCTCCTCAAGCAGCCATAGCATTAAACGGTCTAAAACTGGTCAAACCTTGAAATTACTAGCATAAGTAGACGATATCTTTTCGTAAACACGTTGCACTTTTCAACCTTATTAGCGATCCAGAGACGTGGAAACTTTCTTCTGAAGCATACACAGCGACTAACAGCCCACGACTGATTGAATGATGAAGGCTAACATCTCACAACAACAGGCTCATCAATCTTCTTAGCACATCGCCCAGTTTTGAAGGTCCGGGCTCGAAACCGGGAAATCGTCACTTTTTGCGTTTTCTTGACTACCAAAATCCGCGCTGCTGATTGTTGCATTTCACATGTGAAACGATTCATCTTCATTTAAACGAAAGCACGCTCTCTAACAGAACTGTTGCATTTGACAAAAAGGCCACACCATCGGGATATATTGTTATTATGCCATTAATTTTGAGTGTCATGGTGTATCGCTTCATGTTTTATGTGCGTGTTTTAATGTGGGCCACCCCGCGCGTTCCGCTGTATCGTCAGTTGGCGTCCGCCCCCTACGTAAGCCGGAGATCGCCGTGCAGTGTTCCTCATAATCGTAAACCGCCGCTGCTCCGAAAGTAGGAATGCTGGGCAGGCTTTAGTTGTCAAAATGCGCGCAATGGTTGCCTCATAGACCACTAAAAATTTGGGCGCGACTGCATGACATGACCAAGAGGTATCCTCAGAAAACCTTAAATAATATCGACCCCCCTTTCAGGGGGTGGGGGGGGGGGCGATATTACACGACGGTTAAAACACAGTGCGGGTAATATCTGAATTTTGCGGCTGCATTTAACTGCAGTATGAGACAGGTGAAGTCCTCTCAAACAGGAATAGTCACTTTTGGTGAGCTCTCTCCGGTCAATGTGCGTAGGACAAATGGTAAATTAGGAAAAAGTCGGTATGTTCGCCTCCCTTCACCTTCCGCACCAGGGGTGCGGACCCCAGATTACCCACTCCTCTGACTCTAACCACATGCAGCTGCGTATGCCATCTGACCATCAACCCACCACAGCTGCTCCTCTCCAAGAAGGGCCCGGAGTCGAAGAAGGCCGCTAAGGCGTCGGCGCGCCGCGCGCCGCGCCGCGACCTGTCCCGCAACGACCCGCTGGACGAACTGTGTCGCACCGCCGGCAACATGCTGCACGAGACCGGCAGCGTGGACGCCGACCTCATGGCTGGCGTCGTCAAGATGCAGCTCGCCCAGATCAGGAAGGAGGTAGGTGCTCTGTGCCGGGACCTGCAATTCGGCGCGGTGCTGTCGTTGCCGGGCCAGCTTCTGTTCTTGCCCTCGGACATGCGTGCAAGCTGTGTTTTGGTTTCGCTCAGCGCTTCAGCAGAAATGTCTTAAAATTGCTGTTTTACGACAGAATAAGGTGCAGAGCTTTTAAAGCTTTCTTGACAAGATTTCAGCTTTTGTTTTCCAACAAAACAACTTCGATCAATGATCTTCGGCCATAAATGCTTTGCATGTGGGATTTTTACTGCTGCAGACACAGCGGGCGCTGCGCAAGTGCGGCGTATGAAAAAACATTTTTGGGCAGAGCGAATGAGAGTCGGTTTCCTTTCAAAGAAATACGAGCCTAGAACAGTGTCCTTCAGAAAAAAACAACAGGGTTCGATTCTTGTCTGTTGAAATCAGTAGGCAAGAGGTAACAATCAGTAAGCAAATCAGTAGGCAATTCTCAGTAGGTGGGCAGCTGCCCAAGCGTATTCGGGGAAAGATTGAGGGCCGTTTTTTAAATGCCGCATGGAGGCGCGCTAATGCTTTGCTTGCATTAACTGAAACGCATGGGTTTTGTCGGTGAAAGCGTGTTGTGTCAGGAGCGGACGCGTAGCTGGTTTGTGATAGTCACACACGTTGCAAGTGCATAACAGTAAATTTCACGCAGATTTCATATGCCAGCATGCAAGGGAAAAGCGCAACTGCACCCTTTTCATTTTACAACACCAATGTATTCTTTAGAAGTTGGTGCACACTGTCAGGCTTACATACGTGATTCCTCTGTGTACGCACATGAATTTAATCACATGCAGTATGTGTATATGTATGTTTGTATACATATACACATACACACACACACACACACACACATATATATATATATATATATATATATATATATATTCCTATATTTGTGCATATATGGTGACTATGGTGCTGTGGTGCTGGGATTGGATGCTCATTTTGTAATAGTCTAAGCATGTGATGTCAACCCCCTAACATTTCGCTAAGACAATAAAAATACCTTTATTCCCGGTAGAAAAACAAGTATATGGTGGTAAAGCTACGTTGATATTTCAGCGACATGCCTTTATCGAAAACCATAACATTTCAATGAAGGTTTCGCCGTCCGCTTGCAGGAGCTCCATACTGACATATGGCATTTGTTTATGGTTAGCGACTCAGCAGCTCAGTTTGCGGTCGGGAGATAAGAACATGACTTGCATGGCATCCAGACGAAGACAGACCAATGATTTTGGTGAGCGCGAGAGCTATGTCGCATTTAGGGCTCATCTTATTTTATCTTTCGAATTTTAATCCCGCTCAATAAAATGCTTGTTTATGAATATGAATTCCAAGTGCGTCACAAAATTGCGAGCATTTCGACAGCTTCTGAACTGCACCATAGGTGAAGAGACCTTGGACAAGTCATTACTTGATTAACCCAATACCTACTAGTCATCAAGGAAACCTCAAACTGAGCAGGTTGTCAGACAGCGCCCCTACTTTAAGACCAGAGAATAACCTTACAGGCATATCCAAGCGTGATTACATTCATTACCAGCTTAAAAATGCGGTGTGGTCCAGCAGTAACCAAGGAGCATTTTTGTGATTTCTTGTTACAAACATCCACAAAGATGTTCTTCACATACTGCACGAGCCGTAGTAGAATTACTGTGCGAATACAGCTGTTTCCGAAATACTGCTATGCGCCAGAACTTCTGTCTCGTACCAGACTAGCGGTATCCCAGCAACCAGCAGGCGTATGAGTGATAGCAATTGGGCTTGAATACTATGAAGTGATCATCTTTCTAACTGATTGATATTCACCTACATCAAAAAGCAAGGCTCCTTACTTGGCGCAAATGGCAGCGGAATATCGCTGAAAGCGTTGGTTTGTTGCTCACGCAGGATCCACGATTTACAGAGAAAACGTGAAGAATAAAGGATAAAAAATGATAAAAAATAAGGCTCTTCGGCTGTATCTTATGGACTATAAAGGCAAATACAAAGAGAAGAAATTGTTGGGATCTATGCCTAAAATTACTGATTACTCAACCTGCCTCCTCATGTTGTTCAGCACAATATCGGACTGAGCAGGTAGCGAGAAACTAATCACCCCCATGCATCGAGGTCCATGCATGCAAACACGCATGTAAAGCCGCTATCTCCACGTTAGGTGTTATACCTCAGCGATACCTATATGCAAGACCCCCTTGCAGCATGCCGGCTTCCAGACTTTATATGAGCATCTCCGGTTTCTATCACCCTTTCACTCGAACGTCAGAGCTGCGCCAACAAGCGTAAGCACCCCTACCTCGTGGGAGGTACAACGTCGGTCAAACACGAACCTATCCGCCCGTGTGAGCAGCCTGGCCATCTAACGACCACTTTCCGGGCCCGTGAAGACCTCAGTGAGCCTACAACTCCTTCCTCCTCTTTGATAGCCTCTCCGGCCATTCAAAGGAACATCAACGGCGGTTCGCAGATCCGTGCTGGCGGGGCCAAGTGGCATCACTGCAAAATCTTGCAGACGTAGTGTGCTTTGTTATCGCTCTTCTTTGTGACCCATTCTCCGTCGTCGTGCTTCATGTGAGTGTACAGCCGATTCACATCATCCTTCGGCTCCTTGTCGGCGTAGTTCCTGTAGGCCGACGTCTCTCCGTCCGTCCAGTGCCAGCCAGTGGCGCCGGGCGAGCGCACCAGGCCGATGACGACGTCCCTTCCGTTGATGAGGTGCTCAAGCAGAAAGTCCAGGTCTTCGCGGCTGGCGACCGAGGTCAAGTGCGCCCGAGGGTTATGTCCACGGCACGCAGCCTCCGCGTCCATGGGATTCACGTCCTTATTGACGTAATGGTAGCAGCTGCGCCGCCAGTCGATCCACGTGGGCGGGCATTTCGTGCGGCCCAGCATCATCAGCCCGGTCAGGGTCTGGCCGCCGCTGGTGTTGGCCGCCTGGTACAGGGCGCAGCCGGCCGGCTGCCACACGGTCGCCGTGCACGCCTCCCGCTGCAGACAGAGCGCGCCGCACTGCACGCGGCTCGGCGCCGGCCGGGCAGCGCCCAGCGGCTGCTGCCGGCTCAGCCAGTGCGAGACCAGGCGGCCGGACGTCACATCCGTGCCGGCCGGGCATGTCCAGAGCAGCAGCAGCAGCAGCAGCAGCAGCGCCGTCAGACGCAGCCGTGACGCTGCCGGACGCCGGTGACCGCGGCGAGAGCCACTGAACATGCTGACCTCACTAGCTGGCGATGTGTGACGGCAGGCTGCACCGGTGGACGATGTGGGGCAGCTGAATACGCCGGCTAGCAGGATAAGGCGGGCAGCCTATAACGGAGAGCGGAAGTGGCGTGGAGCACTGTCCGCAACTGACAAGTAACCAACACACGTATGACCGATGTTAAGCGGCGAATGATGCTGATCGAGGATGTCTGTCTGCGGACCTGCAGCGTGGTTGATGGACTGCTCGCCACCAGGCCTCGGTAGCCGCCTGCAACGCCGATGATAAGCGTGGGCAGCACTGATATTTTGTTGCACGAGGGGGTGGGGAGGAGCGCCGCACCGAATCACCCTGGAGAAGAGCCCTGTCTACACTGGTGGTGCTGCTGAACGTCCTCCATATATACCGAACATCGTGACTCGTGCCAACTGCTGCCGCGTGCGACGATTGAGTCTGACCGAAGCTAGTGGCCAAGGTAGTTATTTCCGGCCACAAACACATTTGTGATTGCCGACTGGCAGCACATATCATGGTGCGGCGACCATAACATCATTCGCGTTCTCATCATTGGAGCTTGGCATGCAGGGCCATATCGTCTTCATTCTAAGATAATGGAATAAAAAACAAGAAGATTGGCGGCCAAACGTCATACTGAGGAAACCAAAATGCGCAATCACATTATGCTAAGTAACTTCAGAGAGCATCGTGTGTTTTGTTCGTCAACCATATGTTGTTTTTTGGGGTGTTCATGTTAGGCACGATGATATGGAACGATAAAGCGAGTATTGCGACCATTGCATATTCTTGCATGGTTCCACAAAGGCTATTTGCATCAGACCAGCATCAAAACTTTTATTTAAAATGCAAGGGCAAAAATCCTCGCGCGCCCGAGAATTCGGTTATTTTAGGTGGCAAGTAATCGAGTGAAAGCATCGCCAATACATTTAGCATGAATACCTCTAGCAGATGGTCGCGAAAAATGAACTCGGGAGTATTTTTACCTGGAATTGGCTGCAATGTGCGAAGTAGTTTAAGTTGTTGCTTAATGTTAGGTTGAGTATCTAGTAACCAACCACACCGAATGCAATACATTTAGGAAGTATTTTTGTTATTTAGTTGGCGCTGCTCGGATCAAAACCAATGACTAGTTTGGCACCAATGTGTTGCGAGCAAAAGCTAAGCCAAGGATGGAGTTTTCAAGCATGCAAACTTGAAACAACAAAGAAAGAAAACAGGACCCGCTAAAATCGACGAATATGATTTCACAGTTTTAAATGAGGGTCGGTTTTTGGACACTATTTTGGGATGGTAGGTGAACCGTTTGCATGAAACTGAACCTAGCCTGCAACGAATGTTGTCACGCCGCCAGTATACACAGCTGTTCCTTGTTTATGTATTTTCACTACATGTAAATTTATTATTCCACATTTTGAATTCCTAACGAAAAGATCCGACCCACTTGTGCGGCTTCAAAGCTGGATAATAGAAGGCAGCATAACTATCGTGTATTAGCACATAACCATCAACCTTTACATGTAGTCATGCTTTAATAAAATTGTTCAACAAAGAACCAATAATCTTTTTGCACACATTCTCCAACTTTTGTTATTTTGAGCGATTCGGATTCCATCGCAACACAAAAACTCTCTGCAAGAAACACCATGGTTCCTAATAAAGACAAAACAAAACAGTGGCAGGTTTTCTGGAACCGGCAGTTCGACGTATTTCGTCCGAAATGAAAAGGGTGTGGTTATTAGCAGACAAATAAGGGTAGATTATACAGGTATCTAACTTCGCTCTGGATGCACGATGCAACAAAATCCACATGGCTTCGGCATCTTTAGCACATGCCACGAGTATTTGACATCGTTGAGGCTCCTAATGAGCAAAAACCTTAGATCTGTGGTGAATAAAGTAGGTTGGATCCCAAACTTCCTAAAAGTGTCTCAGATACTGTTCCAAGATTAGGTGATCGCTAGTATCTATAGAGCACGCTGTCCACGTAAAAGAAATTGCCTCACTCCGAAGGTTCTTCCAGAATGGCTTCTGAACGACGCGGTGCAGCGCGCCAAATTTTGCATATCTATGGAAAATTAAGTAGCAAATCTTTTGGCATCATAAATTTAGATGTACCTTGTAAGGTCGCTGGCCTATGGCAGGTCAAAATCAGACCATGGTTTCAGCGAAGACAATTTCTAGCAAATCCTTCAATCTGATCCAACAACGGAGTGTTAGACGAAGCCATACATCTCTATGATGCTTTCTTAGGCAACACAACAGTTGAATGAACAAATCACATTGACCTAAGGTCAAGTGTTAAGGTCACACCAAGGTCAAAACCAACCTGTTTTATCACTCAATGGCTTGCTGTATGGGATGGTCTGTGGTGCTCATTTCGAATTCATTGATAGCAGGAACCGCATCTTCCATGGACTTCTTAGAGGTCAGAATAGGTCATTGACCTACAATGACCCATGTCAACATTTTATTTTAGGAACATACTGTCTAGCGTAATCTTTGTCGCTTAGTCAAATGCAAAACTCAAATCAGTCTTGCATGATTTTGATCACTTTGACCTTTGAAAGGCCGAACAAGGTCACTGACTTCAAATGAGCATGTGACCTTTTGCTTAGAAACGGTTATCTAGGTTCTGGGGGCACTTTGGAGACCAACCTGGAACTTGACCTTGTTTGACCTTGTTTGACCTTTTTTGGCCTGGAGATCATAACCTAGGAACCTAAAACCTTGGTATAGGTGAGTTCACGCATAGTTCAGCATACCCTGTAAATTTGGTGTCTCTAACTTTCTTAGTTCCCGAGACCTCATGGGGGTCAAATTGACTCCCCACCAGAGCGAAGGTATCTAGGCGGCCACCCGGGCGCGTGTTAAGAAGCGCATAATAATCCAGGTGCATAAGGGTGAACAACAATAACAGCAACATGCTCTGCAGCCCTTCATGTCTGTCCCATTAAACAGCCGACCTGACCAGAATACCGTTGGGCGTCGCGGTGCGATGCATTCATCTTGGACTTTGAACGCACATATGACTTACAGCCGCATGCTACACTCACTTGCCGATCCGTGGGAGTGACTCGCACAGTCCCTGGGAATGACAATAGTCGCCAGGCAAACTGCGGAAGGGGAAAGTGAGCACCTTCATGTCCGTTTAAGGTAAAATTGTCTTTTCAGAAAACATCAATCATCGAAGTTGAGCTTCCGGGATCCGAAGAACACAAGAAAAAAGGCTCCAGTAAAGACCCTGACGAAAATAAATCTGAAGGTGGTTCAGACATGAAAGGAACGGGTAAAACCTCGAACCCCGAATCGAGACAAGCAGAGGAAAGAAAGCTGTCCAAGCAGCCAGATGGAAGGAGAGAGTCCAGGAGATCCTCACAAAATCGACGAAAAACATTAAAAGCGGAGGAGGAAGAGAGAAAAGAAACGAGAGAGGAGGACGACGATTTCTGTGAGAAGCGCCATACGAAACTGAAGAAACGTGGGGAAAATGACGACACTTCGATCAACTTGGACGAAATCGTCATCATAGGTAATGTGTTTGGATTTCAGAGACAATGGCTACGTGCAACCTTGCAATGAAGGATAATGCTTGGATGGACTGTTAATATTTGGGAAAGGTTTGAAAAAAACATTTTCACCACAACTGCAGAACGTAGTCCATAAATAAATGCTGTTTGGCGTAACTGCACCAGGTCCATGCCGTTTCACGCCATTTTGCAGCATGATCATTCTGGGACTGTGTTGTTTTGATCTTGCGGTACGCGCTGAACCATCCGAAGCTCTCTGACGGACCGCATCCGCGGCGACATTTTGGAATTGTCTTGTGTCACGCATGCTCCAACATCCTGCACGCTCCCGAACAGTCAGTTTTGTGGTATGGTCAGATAGTACAGAGAAGGGACCCAGACAATTGCCTTATTTCTGCAAAATCGCCTAACAGGCCCTGTTCTATGCAAGCGGACGTAATCTTTACCCGCGTCCGGCCGGGTGTCTGAGACGACCGCGTCGGGCCGGGGGGAAGTTGCCCCCCCCCCCCTCGTGGGATCTCCAAGCTGCACGCCGCCGTATGAGAAAAAAAAACAAAGATACCGTTGTAAAGTTCCAGTCAAATCATGAAGAATCCCACCAAATTTTTGACATTAGGTCAAATGAGAGGTCTCTAGAGGTCCCGAAAAGTCAACAATGGTTGTTTTGATGGAAGCAATTTAAACCCGTGTTAACACGTCAAGACGGGTGGTGCGGGCACGTAAATAGGCATTGAGACTACGAAGAGTCCATTCCAACCATTTCTGTTTCTCCACAAGGGTCAGGTCAAATCAAGTCACCATTCAAAATTGGTCTACCGGTACAAGAACGACCCTTTTTAGCGATGGGCTTCTGACTAAGTCTATTTTATTAGGTGCAGCTGTGGGGCAAAAGTATTCCAACCACAAAAACGCCATTTTAGGCCAACCGATAGGTCATCTGAAGTTAACTTAGGTAAAACTTGCAAACCATTTAAACGAAAAGGTGCTAAATGCGTTCATGTCACCGGTGCAGTGCTTTTCTGCGATCAGAAATAGTACATTAATATATTAATGTTTAATTTATTCATTCATAAATAAAAGTGTATAAATCGTGTACATCTGCAGGTGTTGTAGATTGCATAACTGCTATTCACATAACACATTGTCCCTTGGACGCTTCGTAATGTATTTGCAACAAATTGAGAACAGGCACGTCGTTAAATGAAATCATAGGCCACCAGTTTTACATACACGATAAAGAGGTGGTTACACGCGTCCCACTCATTCATCTAGTCTCTGCGCTATTGGTAACAGAGGCTATTTACTTTGGGTGATCATGTGGGCTTGAATGTGCTCATGTGCCCTATTGTGACCTCATTATGCATCGTGATGATGTCAGAACATGTTGACAGTGGAGTATTTAAATTCTGCTTCCAAAGTTATTGAATAAAACTACCTTTTTAACTCAGCATGCGGTTTGCAAAATATACCAATAGAGTCAGATTATGACCGGGACCAAGGTCATGTACTTTTTGGTCATATGATGGTTGTGCATGCGATTTAGTACTCTTGACTTCATATATAAGCACACATGCGTACAAATTTGCATTATTTACAAGAATGTGTGGTCAACGTTTTCAGAAGTTGATCTCTTTGACCTGACCTACGCTGCTGATCTTGGTAGACAAGCACTTCAGATTCCACAACGGATGCAAACTTGACATGTTAACAGGCTCCGTAAATTTCATGTTGCAACAATTATTCGTGTTTTTACCAGTCCTAAAAAACCCGTAGAGGTGGTCGACTTCCCCCGCCGGGCGCGGGTAATGATCCTAGAATATGTCATCGATGTGCCATTTCCTTCGAGATGTCTGAGCTCTCGCTGCATCAGCTCCCTTCCGATGTTTCTAGAAAAAGATGTTTTTTTCAATATCAAATGGGACCATAGTTAAGAGCACATTCCGTGACATTCCATCACATAACGTCTTGGTAGTGATCGACTTGGGTGGATGATGAACTTTGTAATGATCTGGTTCTTTTCAGAGGACGCGCCTGTGCAGGGTCCCGACATATACGTGATTCTAGTGGGCTTCTTGCTTCCAATGCTGCCTGTCGAGCTGGAGAAAAGAGGTTAGACGAACGCTGGCTGCTCATTTAACGCCGTGTCCTTTACGAACATGCGTCGGTTACCCGACAAATTTCGAAGCGGACACCGTCCACAATCCTGCACCATGTTCATGATTCATATGATATGCCAGTAATTAAGTGTCGAGTGTACTGAGACCCTCAAACTCGGAGTTTTTGATCACATCCTGTCTGGTCATTGTTAACCAAATCAGCTGTGGTTGAACAGGTGTTCCCGTGGAGGTCTTGTTTCGAGTCCAGACGAAGCCCAACATTCCGGCTCAAGTGGCGCCAAGACAGATGTCTTGCAATGTGGTCGAGAGTTCTTCTCAACAATCGATGGGGGCTGTTCCAGAACTGTCTGAGTCGAATGACTTTAGCTGCAAACAGTAAGTATCCGCGTAGTAAACGAGCCTTTTTGTGCTGGCAAATTTGTTGATATCATCCAGTCCCCATCCGGGTCGCTTGAAGCTCTCCCTATCCTCCCCCCCCCCCCCCAGTTTACCTGCGCATTGGTCCTAAATCCATGCATCGATCTAAGCTGTTGAGAGCTCCAGCTACAAATATACTACATCAGGGTTAATTTTTTCCAACCTAACTTCTGAAATCAGGACATATTCCAGTGTTTGTTCAGCTCAGTTGTTTAAGAGTAAAGTGATAATACCGGGATGAGAGGTGTTCGAGTGATAACCGAACCTAACGCGACATTAAATATCCACTGATGACTTCTCTGTTCCACACAGAAAACTCCCACTATTTTGGGAGCAGCTGTCAGCAAACCTGAGATCCAACAGCACGGAGGCTGTTCCATCTAATTTTGTGGTTAGGGATCTTGTAATGCCCCTGCCGACCGTCACGTGTAGCTCAGATCGACATCAGGTTAGTGCGGTTAGTTTATAATCTGCTCTCCAAAATGTACATTCCACTACGTGGAGGATAACGGAATTAGATCAGTTTTTAAGAGAACATCCATGTGAACAGGCCGGTGCGTTATGTTCAGCCATGCTGTGTTTTATCGAGATATACTGGCGGGACATGTACCTGCTTTGATATGTTAATAAAGTTGCCTGCGACACGAAAATACACCAGGATCGGCGAGCTAATCTGGCGGAAGGGTATGCGATGCCTAGTAGATTATGATTTTGAATTGTACGTACCCACTGGCACATGTTTGCGTTCTTTTTAGGCTGGCTGCTTGATGTTCGACATGCTGGCTGTGGAAATCTATGACAGCTTGAAACTGAAGACAATTTTCGACTGCTATTTGCGTAATCTCTGCGTAATACAGGTGAGCGCAATAAGGAATAAGATCCCAGCAAAGCATGCCTATTTTCGACATAGACATTTTAGCCTGTCACAGTACCGCTGCAACCATAATGCATCATTATCTCAGGCTGGTGTTATAGGCAACTGCTTGGATCTGCAACGGATTGGGAGTAAACTGGAGCCTTACTGACTTCCTGAAGCACGAATAGCGGGAATGGGATCGGTGGACGTGTAGTGGTGAAAGGCTTCCAGCCAACGAATGCGTAGCTGAAAGATCGTAAAATACACTCCCAGCACGAAACGTACAGCTGTAGAGGTGACAGGGTGAATAAACGTACTGCAAGTCCGAAATAGGTCATCAATCGCAAAGTTAAATAGTTCTGCATTTAACCTACCCGTTGTTACCACTTGTGCGAATAATAGCTGTCGTTCAAAAGCCCTCCCACGGGGTCCAGTCTGCGATGCCAGCTACCGGTCTCACAGACCGCCAAGTGCTGGCGGCTGCAAACCTCTGTCACCGTCCAGCGTGACACCCCTGACCATATGTCCGACTCGCCACACGCGCTGTGTGTCTGCCGCAGATTATCAATATTTCCGCCGTCTTCCGCCGCATATTTCTGACATACCGCCGCGCTCCGCCGCAGCACCACCGCCGTGTTCCGACGCAACTTCCCGACATTTCAGCCGTGTTGCACCGCAACTTCCCGACATTCCAGCCGTGTTCCGCCGCAACTTATCGGCATTTCCGCCGTGTTTCGTCGCAACTTCCCGACATTTCCGCCGTGTTCCGTCGCAGATTCGGGACATTTCCGCTGTGTTCCGCCGCAGATTCCCAACAATCCCGTCATGTTCCGCGGCAGATTCCCGACATTTCCACTGTGTTCCGCCACAGATTCCCGACATCACCGCCGTGTTCCCACCGGAGTTGCCGACGTCTGTCGCCGCCGACGAGGCGCCGCCGCCGTCGCCAACGCCGCCCGAGCGGTCCTCGAAGTCGCCCGCACCGTCGGCGGCTCCACTACTGCCGTCAGCGTCGGAGGAGGAGGCGCCGGCGGGCTGGCCATGCACGCCCGAGCCAGAGCTGTACCGAGAGCGGCTGGCGGCCGTCCCGCCAGAGGCCGTCTCCGTGCCGCTGCTGCTCAGCGCCCTGCTCGATCAGGTGAGCTGTCATTCAGCTGCGTTGCATTCCTGCACCGCCACTCCATGGCATCGTAAGTTCGATGTCATGGAGTGGTGGTGCGAAACACGCAGGTTTCCGAAAAGACAGTTTGCACTTTCGTCGGTGCTTTGGAGCATTTAAGTTCGCCCACGCCTCTGACTGGCGAAACAAGCCAATCATTACCCAACGGGACCCTTCCACCCAATCTCTGTCGATCCATTGTGGAGAAATCTTTCTTTTGAGCCAGGGGAGGTCTTTCCGAACATTGCTGTGGTGATTTTAGATGGTTGAATTCTGCGTGTTTGCTTATTTGACAAGTATGCATAATGCATTGATGGTAGAACACAATGTTGAACGACGTGAAAACATGCCAGCATATGGTTGAAATATCCTGCACGAATTGCGAACCAAAACAAAGCCCAAGATACTCCTCAGCATGCCTCGAACGGTCACTTACGTCTGCACAACCAGACAAAGTGCTATGGCTCCACAGAGAGGGATGTGTCTTCCTTTTCAGTTCGGGGCTCAATTAAGAAAAAGTCACTCAAATCCAGGGAAATATATTTTGGCGTATTTTGGAAGTGTATAGCCACTTTCCACTGCGTGGTACCCGCCCACCAAACCATTTTGAGAAACTACACCCCTGGACACTGGTTCTGCTGGGTCTACCTTTTGTAACACATCGCATAACCAAACGCTCTGTTAAGGTTCCCAGTGTAAGGGTAGTTCGAAGTAACGGGGTATTCGATCGAATTCGTTGGTTGAATTAACTGAGCAATGCTAACACATAACAGGCGGCCTATGCTGCCAACATTTGGGCGCTTTCAATCCATCCTTCCTCGATTTTAGATATAGCATTGTGCGTGGATTAAGTTAGCCTACAGCGTTCCGTTATTGCTTTGAACCTTTGTACACCGAGTAGGATTGGTAAGCTCGCTGAGAATGCAACAGAGTTCCGCTGTGTTGTCAGGTGGCGTTCTGGCTGGACGAACCCGGCGATCTGGAAAGCTCTAAGCCTGCTGAGTCGCCCGAGCCGTCTCTCACCAGCAATCCTAAGTCTAACGCGCAGTCCGATGAAGCTCCAGCGGCCAGCGCCGAGGCCCCACACGCCAACACCCTCACCCCAACGGCGGCCGGCTCCCTCCACCCTCCCGGGCACAGGCGCCACTCAGTCTCTTACGCGAAGAGCCTGCAGCCGGAGCTGCCCGGCAGCCGTCGCTGGTCGCTGCAAGCTTCGCACGGTCGCCGCATGTCAGCGCTGCCATCGCTTAGCCCTCGGGCTCTGAAGGCCGCCCCGGGGCAAAGGCGGCGTAGTGCGTCGACGTCGACATCGCTGCCGCAGCTGCAGCTGCAGCTGCCACCGGTCAGCGAGGGCGTGCTGAGCGGGGCGCGGCTGCTGGAGAACCAGCTGCGTGCTGACGCTAGCGCCGGCCTGCTGGCTGAGGAGGACACGCCGCCGGGACCGCATCTGAAGCGACGCTTCGCTGCCAGCGAGCCGCTGACGGAGGCGGCGCCCGTGCTGGTCTACCATCGGGACCACATCAACGCGCAGTTCTACAACAGGCCAGGTGAGATCGCTGCACGACCATTGCTATGCTGTGCGTCATTGGCGGTTTTATTCGTGATACGGGGGAACTAGTAGGTACGTGCAGTGAAGAACCTGTGAGACTCACGCCCAGTAGAGGAGGAGAGTGGGGGGGGGGGGGGGGGATCTCGGATCTGGTCTGTCATCACAAGAACCGCAAAAGTTAGAATAAAGCAAATCACAGGGCGGGCGGGTGCTACAAAAATAACGTTCTGCCGAAAATTTATGAACATGAAAGGACTAGCATGTAAGGACTGACATGTAAGGACTAGCATTTAGGATCTATTGTGATCACGAACATAATTGAGGTGAAATAACGATGTTCATGGGAGAAGCATGACTCTGGAATGATTGGCATAGGAAATAAAAAAATCCGTCCTTGCTGTTGTCAGGAGCATCTCCTTTGCACATACACACACACACACACACCCACACACACACACACACACCACCCAACACACACACACCACACACACACACACACAAACACCACACCACACACACACACACACCACACCACACACACACACAACACCACACACACAACACACACACCACACACACACACAATGCCACAACACAACACACACACACACACACACACAGCCACACATCACACACACACCACACACACACACACACACCACATATATAGATATATATAATATATATAATATTATATAGTATTAGAATATATATATATATATATATTTACATATAATAATCTCCACGCTAATTGCTGGACTCATGCTTCACTTCCTTGCCTTAAAACGATACCGTAAGGTTTTGTTTGCAGGTAGACTAAACATGATGCATATCGACCTACTCATCGAGGAGATATTTACAAATATCAGGACGAGGTATATTTATCCCTCTCCCTTCTTTCGCTGCTCATGTTCAGCAGCATCTAGTTCTCGCGCGATAACAACCATCGAGGATACATTTGCACCTATATCTTATCAAGACGTCGTACTCAGGTCTCAGCGTTCAGCTTGAAATTCAGATGCCTGAGTAAACAGCATTGGTTGCAAAAGTTGACAGAAGCACGTGAATTTCCAGTGACCATTTGCCCGTCACTGCCTACCCATAATCTGCCCGCCACTAACGAGCCAGCTGTCGTCTATTGACGTTAGCCAGCCAAGGTAGGCTGTACCGCATTACCCGAGTCGCTCGGAGTTATGTTCGACTAGCCGAAGGTGTATGGAGTCACCCTTCTCGAGCAAAGGCGTCTGTATAATCGTTTAAAAGCCGTGCTCAGTACTGAACCACGCGGTCTTTTTACATCAGTCAGTTCCGGAGATCACCGGGTGATTTTGCGCTCTCTTATTGGTTCAGCTGGCTGGCTTTGTTTTTGTTCAATTTCTTAAACAGTTTTCTTTGGCTGACCATCACGTTCGATAGAATTATGCGTGCACCACGTGGGCGTGATCGCCCCCGTTTGAAGACGGTATACAAGGCAACTCATCGTCACCGAATACATTCAGAAGATTCGAAGGGTTATTGAAGAACAAGACAATTGTTGGTGCTGGATGCACGTGTGGCTGCTGTTGTGCCGATTGTGAGCTGGTCACAGTGAGATGCCACGAAATATAATATTTTTCTTGCAAATAATCATTCTTGACTGCTCCGCGAGGAAAGGTGGCACGAGCGAGGTCGTCAGTAGTCGGCACTCGAAAAGTTTGCCACCAAAAGGCGCAGTTTATATGGCTTCTGAGTTTGTGGCCTGGTGTACGTCGTAAAACCCAATATTCTCCTAACACCGTGTCTAAAGCACGTGGGTCAACTAAATAAAAAGAAGATGGCCAGAACTTACAAAGCTCTGCCGTAATCTTCAAGTCACGACATGGTACTATTTCTCATACGCAGCCCGCATGCGTTGACAGCGTGCAAATACATTGTGCACAGGACCACTGGAAACCTGTGGTCCCCGAAATGAGACGGAACTATGTACTCTCCTGGCGACTGGCACAAATGCTCCATAGACGAACGCAGTGGCATTGGTACCTGGCGCTGCTGACGCTGAGACTCCTCGGGACCCACAATGTTACGGTCGTGTCGGCAGACCGCTCAGTGGTGCACCAGCTGGAGCAGGTGCTGCACCTCAACGACCACCAGCGGCAGCTTCAGGAGCAAGCCATGCCGCCCAGCAGCAGCATTCTGAGGCACCACGCCGCTGAGCAGGAGCTCCTGTCGCGGCTGAAGCTGGTCGTCACTTCTCCGGACAGTGAGTCAGCACCTCAGGCGGG